AGAGGCGGAGCCTAGTGGGAGGTAATGAGAGCACTGTGGGGGCATCACCATCAGAAAAACACTTACCATCTAGCCTCACCCTCTTGGGCACACTCCCACCGTGATGCCATCTACTATGCTGTGAAGCAGCCAGGGACCTCATTAGAGACCCAACAGATGGGGCCACCGATCCTGCACTTTCAGCCTTCAAAACCGTGGGCTAAAGAAACTTCTTTTCTTTCTAAGTACCCAGCCTTAGATATTTTGTTATAGCAACAGAAAATGGACAGACACCAACTTCCTGCCATTTCCTCCCTTGAGCTTTACTTTCCCTCAGGTCTGACCCTGAAGGCCATTGCAGATCCAGTCTTTCTTGTACCTATCAAATCATGAGAAATGGTGGGGCGTTTTGGGGGGCAGGAGGGCACAAGCCTGCCAAGTTCTCCCGGACACAAGCGACCAGGCCAGCACGGTTCCTTGATATCCAACCCCATGGCTCTGATGAGATCTATGATGGTAACTAGGTCACAGGAAGCACAGCTGCCTCAGGACAATATTTTATGGAATGGGGAAATGACTACAACATTTTGTGACATGAGAAGCCACAGGTCCCACCGCCTCCCCCATCAAATCACCACAACAACAAAGTCCCAAGAGTCTCAGGTTGTTTCTCCAGGTGCTACCACTGGTCTCAGAGGGCACCCTGCGGGTGGAAGTGACAACCAGGGTGCGCATGAGCAAATGCAAAATCACTGGAGAGAAGGTGCTGGGGGCCACGCACGGGCGGCCAGGAAGGAGCTTGCAAGGTCAGAGTGGTGACAGGGCCCAGGGGCCAGGGGAGAGGAGGAGAGGAAGGGGCTGGCGCTGGCTAGGGCAGGGTCCCAGCTGCCCACAGGGTCACCACCATCGCAGGCTCCACCCAGGTTACAGAGCAGGACAGGTGGAGGGAAGAAGGGGGAGGAGCTGCAGGGAGAAGGGAGTGGGGTCACTGCCCATGGCAGGGGAGGCTGGCAGCTCCTCCACCACCTTCTGTCCGGCCAGTAATCCTAGCTTTGAGTCTACCCCTGCTGTCGCTCCCTCCGCCCTCTGGGGTCTGCCGAAACCCCTCCCTTGTTCTTTCCTCTGCCCTTATTCAGGGGACATGTCCCAAGTCACAGCGCTTACGACCGGGGACAGCAGCAAACCCCACGAGGACTATGGCTCTTCCTCCTCCTCCTCCTCCTCCTTTCGAGAAGATGCAGTGTGTGAGTGAGGTCCAGGGAGAGAACAGGACTACTAACAAATAGAGCAGCGACAACGACAAGCTGTATCGAAGTCATTTAAAACTTAGGGATGGCTTATTTCTGGAATTTTCTATTTAATTTTTTCAGACTGCCTTTGACGGTCATCGACGGAGTCCACGGAAAGGGAAGCTGCAGACCAGGCCCCTGGCCTCCCTCTCCCTTAGAACCACCGTTTTGTCTGTTTTGCATTTTTGCAGTTAAAAGTCCAACCTGCTGTCCCCACAAGGCAGGCTTGTTCTGAGTCCCCTCGGTGCTGCTGCGGTGTGCTCCCAGCCTGTGCGCACGCAGTAGGTGGGAAGCGTCTGTGAACAGTGTCGCCAGGACAGGTGACGAGCCCCCATCCTCCCCATGGCGCTCAGCGGGCGACACACAGGCTGGGGACGGGTCTCCAAGTGGACGTAGGGGACTTGTCATCACACGAGTCTGGATATTGGGCAAAAGGGCTTCAATAGGTAAGTGGATGCACGACCAGAGAAGGCCACCGGTGACGAGAGGGGCTGTGAAACAGCGTGACAGGCACAGGAAGAAACCCTGGTCCTCTTAGCCTGCTCCCCAGGGAGTCACAGGGATGGGCCTGGAGGCCGTGGTTCCAACGCAGGCGGTGTCCCCTGCGTCCAGAAGATGGCCCCTGCAGATCACTCCGCCCTCTGCGGGGAGCGGCGGGAGCAGGGGGCATCCGCGCAGCCGCAGCCCTTGTATCCGCGGGGACAGGTGCCCAGACCTTCCCCGCCAGCTCAGGCCGCAGAGGGCACCAAGCCCTGCCTGTACCGGCTTCTTCCTCTAAGTGCACAGCTGTGATAAAGCCCAGCTACTAACTAGGACAGTAAGCGGGCAGCGACAGTGAGTTACCGCAAAATAGGTAACTCTAAGGACAGAGGGCAATGGAAGTAATTAAAAACCTAGGAACGGTTTGTTTCTGGAATTTTCTGTTTAGTATTCTCAGACTGAGATTGAACGTGGGTAACTGACACCTCAGAAAGAACCCTCAGATAAGGGGCGGGGACTCTGTGTGTATGGCTGTGTGTATGTGAACACGTGTGTATGTCTGTATATATACACGTGTGTGTGTGTGTGTGTGTGTGGCCTGTGCCCAGGCACATTGCAGATGGCCTGTCATCAAGAACTCCTCCCACATTTCTGCCCTTCTGCTCCACTGTGCAGGGATGTGTCACGGGGCATAAGTCCCCTCCACACTCCATATAGTGAGCTCAGGCTTTTTAATGCTGGCTGGTTCTGACGCCAGCTGCCTGCCACCAGGATGGCCCCCCTTTTAAATCACCTCAACGCCTGTCAGTTACGAGGGCTGCGTGATAAATGTCCCCCAATGCACCCCAATGCGTAAACATCCCTTTTCTGCTCATGGATTTTGTGGATGGAGAGTTCATTCAGCCCAGCCAGGGTGGCTTGTCCCTGCTCTGTGATGTCTGAGACTCCAGCTGGGACACTGGAAGGCAGGGGCTGGAGTCCTCTGCTGGCTTCTTCTCTCCCAGGTCTGAATGAGCTGCCAGTTGTTGGTGGAGGGTGGAGACTGGAGCCGGGCTGTGCCTGGAGCCTGTGCCCTGTTCCTACAACACAGTCAGCAGTGCTCAGGTGACTGGGACTTCAGGTGGCCAGAGACTGTCTGTGCAGTGGCCTCTGGGCCAGTGGAGATGCTGGGGCTTTGCAGGCTGGGAAGGCCGGCTTGAACCAGGCCCACCGTAGAACAGTGGGGCTCAGCCAGTTACCTGAGGCTCCTCCAGCTGCTCACGGTCCCCTGGGAGCAGAGAGACTCCAGCGCAACACCAGGTACTTAGGGGAGCCCAGCACGGGGTTTGCTTTTGTGGCTGATTTTCAATCCTTTCAGCATTCCCCTCACAGATGGGGAGACGGGGCTGGGGTTGGCTTGTTTACTGTTGGGGATGAGTCTCTGCCCGTGAGCCCCAGCCCTATTTTGTCAGTGTGTGGAAGGTCCCTGGGTCGCCAGGGACCCTGCTGGCTGGAGGCGGCTGTAGAACTGGCTTCAGTTCTTCTGGCTCTTGAAGTTGGGTTCTCCTCCCTTCCCCTAAGTCCCCACTATCTCCACCCTGAACAAAGGAGTCTCCAACACCCCAGTAGCACAGGGGGGGAAACAGGCCCAGGGAGGCCCACGAGGTGCCCCAGGCAGCAGGGCCTCGCTCCCCTGGGTAGAGGCTGAGCCCAGCCCCATGGGCTCCTTCTCCTCCCCCTGAGCCACAAAAGGAAACTCGCTTCCCATTCCCTGCTCCTCTGCCAGCCTGAGAGTCCGGAGAAGAAACATTTCCAAATAGACCAGGGTGGTCTTTTCGGGGTTCTGGGTTTTGCTGTTTGTCCTTTGACATCTGTTTCCCATGAGATGCTGGGAAATGCAGGTGCTGGCCCAGGACGCCTGCTGTCTCAGGGCCGGTACCTGCTCTCCCGAGGCTGTCCCGCAGCCAGCGCTCAGAGCTGACCATGTTTGGGCATGCAGGCTCGACCCAGATGGGCCCAAAGGCTGCGTCCCTGGAGACAGCTGGAGGCAAGCTTCCCGCGGAGCTCCAGGAGGCGGCCTTTGGGGTGGGGGCGGGGGCTGGGCAGAGGGAAACCATCTGCCTGCGAGGACCCAGGGGCACTGGGCAAGCTGTGAGTACTGTATCCCTTAGAGTGCTGGGGGACAGGGGCGGGAAGGAGCCCGAGATGGGCCCGGAGGGCGGGAGTGGGCTCCCTTCCTCTTGGGACGGCTGTGAGGACTCTGGTGTCAGGGGGGCTGGCTGGTGCTGATGGGCACCTGGGGGTGGCTCTTGGTGGGGTCACTCTGGGTGCTGAGTGCCCTGTCCTCAGGCCCAGCTTGCAGCAGCCTGACTCAGAACAGTCCTCCTGCCCCTTGCCCCAGTGGAGGAAGGGGACAGAGGAGAGGTTGGGGAGAGTGCGCCCCACTCTGCCCCACTCCACAGTCCTCTGTCCATCACCACAGCCAGCGCGGACGGGGCTCTCCACATCACTCGACCACCACTGGACTCCTATGGTACCCTTCTTGTCCACTGTCACCTGGGTGCTAAGGGCCAAGGCCAGGATGTGATCCTGCATCTGGGTGTCTCAGAACCCCCCTTCCCGACACTCCACCAAACCCTGAAACGCTGTACTCTACTCCTGTCCTTCTAAGGAAGAGGATGTGGACCCGGCTCTCAGATCACATGGGACCCACACGCCTTCCTTTGTCCTCCTTCATCTTTCCTAAACCCAGCTAGGACCTTGTGTGACCTTTCTGAATAGGAAGAGCTAGCCAAAAAAAGCCAAAGTTATTTGTCAACTCTCAAGCCTGAGAAGTTCTTCTTGGAGTCTAACTAAATCCCTCCTGTTGTTGATGAAACCCATCTCTTCCGGAGCAGGTCTTAGGGGAACTGACTATTCAACACTGTGGATGTTGAAGCCCAATTCCCACCCGAGACTCCTATCTAAATAGAACCCCCAGAACGGACCTGAGTGGGTTTATCGAACTCTGCAGGAATCCCAGCAGAGCAGGAGCACAGGGCCAGACCCCTTGGAGACAGGGCAGTCTCTCCTTCCCTTCCCTCCTGTGCCCCTGGAACAGGGAAGTCCAGGAATCCAGCCTCCTCCAGCCTTAGAGGCTCCAGCGTCTGGGATGCAGAGGGGGGAGGGAGCGGGAGGTGGGGGCTGCTTGTGGTAGGAGCCTCACAGCAAGGGAGGTCCTCCAGCTTCCCCTGGGACAAGGGTTTTGCTTGGGGACTCACTGAGGTTTGCAAGGTTAACCCTGAGAGTCAGCCAGGGATCAGAACCCAGACATCCTGGGAGCCACTGTGGAGCCTCCACATGCTGTGTGATCTCGGGCAAATCGCTTTCCCTCTCTTCCCTTGCAGGATGAGAGGGTGACACTCACCTCTCAGAGCTGGATGGGAGCTTCCAGAGGGTGGAAAGGAGTGAGGTTGATATTTGGTGGCCTCCCCCTTGCCGCCCTCCTTTTGGCGGGTCACCTGCCGCCTGAGCCCATCTCACTTCTGTTCCTTCTGTGGCCCTAGAAATGACAGCTGGCCCCGGTGGACATGGTGAAGAAGCTGGTGATGGCTCAGAAGCGGGGAGAGACCCGAGCCCTGTGCCTGGGTGTGGCCATGGTGGTGTGTGCGGTGATCACCTACTACATCCTCTGCACCACCATGCTGCCCCTCTACCAGAGGAGGTGGGTGCGCTGCGGGTGGGCTGTGGGCAGGGGGCTGTGCGGGCTCAGGGGTCTTCCAGGGCTTCTCCCCCTCTCCGGCCACCTCACAGTAGGCAGGCTGCTCAGGGCCATGTCACTCTTAGCGAGAGGGCAGGCTGGCCCCTGCTCTGGGATCCCATGGGAGCAGGCTCCAGGGGCTCTTCTCTCAGAATCAGCCAAGGATGTGAGCAAACCCTGCAGGGGGTGACCCGGAGCCCCTTCACCTGGGTCAGGCGGGCTCCCACCGCCCCCCACCCTCACCCCACCCTCACCCCCATGCTAGGCCTTTCTGATGTGTAGAAGCCACACTGGGCGCGCATCTGCTCCCCTGGACCCTTGCAGGCTTCGTGGAGAGCGTCCCGTGTGCCTCTGACAGGCCACCTCACCCTTTGGCTTCCATGAAGAGCTGGGAGACCCCTGCTGTGGGACTGTCTGCAATGGGCGCACTCAGCACTCTCACCTGGGCTTTGGATAAGCCCCAGACCCTTCCTGGGCACGTTCCCGTCCCTGACAGCCCCCTCCCACACCCAGCCTGGCATCGGGTCTCCTGCAGGAAAAATGGGCTGAGTCCCCAGGGACTCACTCACACACTCACACTCGAGGGTGTGTGGATGAGCCTGTCGGCCCCTCCCCGCCAGCACGGTCCTTGCCTTCGACAAACGGAGCCGTGACAGGCTGGGGTCTTCCGGATGAGGTGCTACTCAGTGCAGCTGTGTCTCCAGTGTGTCATCTCCGGGTTAAACTCCATCGCCCCATCAAACCCAGCCCCAAACATCTGCCCTCTTCAGGGGAAAGATGACAGATTCTGGAGGCACTTGGATTTGACCTCAAGTCCTGTGTGGCCTCAGGAAATTCACTTGACCTATCTGAGCTCCTCAGACCTCTGTAAGACAATGAGGCTCTGAATAAGAGATTCTCAGGCCTGGCTGCTCCTCAGAACCACTGGGGAAGTTTTAAAAATACACCAACCTGTATCCAACCACTGCAGAAATTCCAACCTGCTTATTCTGGGGTGTGGCTTGGACGTGGGAATCTTTTTTTGGAGGGGTACCAGGGATTGAACTCAGGGACACTCGACAGTTGAGCCCCATCCCCAGCCCTATTGTGTATTTTATTAGACAGGGTCTCACTGAGTGGCTTAGCACTCACTGTTGCTGAGGCTGGCTTTGAACTGGCCATCCTCCTGCCTCAGCCTCCCGAGCTGTGGGATCACAGTGGGCCTGGCAGACGTGGGAGTCTGTTTGAAACTCCCCAGGTGTGAGGAGAACTAGGACCCCAGCGGCTCTGCTCTTCTGGGGCCAGTCCCTCCCTGTGTCTAGCTCCTGCCTTCAGTGCTGAGTGCCACGGCAAGATGAGGGGCCCAGCCCCGGCTCTCCTAAAGGCTCCCGGGGGACCAGGGGTCCAGCAGGGTGCTCTCTGTGTCCCCCTGTTCTGAGATGTGTGTATGTGGTGTCCTCAGCGTGTGGACCCAGGAGTCCACCTGCCACCTGATTGAGACTGACATCAGGCACCAGGAGGAGCTGGAGGGCAGGAAGGTGTCCCCGTACCCGTGCCTGTGGGTCAACGTCTCGGCTGTGGGCAAGTGGGCCGTGCTGTACCACACGGAGGACACTCGGAGCCAGAACCAGCAGGTACGGGGTTAGGGATGGGCACACGTCCCCTTGTCCCGGGTATGCATGGGAACCTGGCCCTCACTGTGTCCCCAGGGCTCAGGGAGCTCTGCCCAGTGTCTCCTGGCTGGTGTGCGGATTTTGGTCCCACCCCGGGTCTGAGTCTGCCCCTGTGAGCCTGTGACAGAGGTGCCCACTGCCCCTGGGGAGCCGTGAAGAGTCAGACACCGGCTGTGCGCCCGCTGGCTGTTGGGTGGATGGGGCTCCCAGAGAGAGGCGGCCATGGGGACTGTCACTTCTAACCTACCAGCTGAACCAACGAGAGGCCAGGCCTGAGTGTTCTGAGAACCACGCGGGGGTCTTAGCAAAGCCAGGGTCCCACATCAGACCCACTGCAGTGGCACCTCTGGGCACAGAGCTCTGGGGGGTTCACCACTGTGACCTACTGGAGTCCCAGGTGCGATCCCCGTGGAGCCGGGAGGGTGGAGCCCAGGGCCATGGGGACTCAGGTACTGGCCACGCAGGACCAGGGCAGGGGCATGGACCCACAGCAGGATGGACACTGACAGAATCCGGACACCAGTGGGCTGGAAGGGGCGGGTCACCTGGGGTTGGGAAGGGGGAGGCTGTGGGGCTGTGGCTGAGCCTGGGAGTCAGGAATGGGGTCCAGGTGGCACCTGGGGGGCTCAGTGGCCCCCGGGTGGGCATAAGCTCCTACCTCAGATCTCCTTCAACTCTGGGGAGGAGCTGAGGCTGGCCCTCTGGGTCTCATGTCCCCCATTCTGATCCTGGACGTGGCTTCAGTAGGACAGTGGGCCTCAGACTCAGTGAGGGAAAGAAGCGTCCACCCCGGCCCCTCTGCACGGAGGGGAGTGGGAGGCGGTGCCAACCGGCAGCCTGAGCTGTCCTGCTTTGTGGGCGGGGCTGACATTTGCAAAGCACCTCCAGAGTCCCCATGAGCAGGTGGCAGGCCAGAGCAGAGACAGCCAGGGTCCTCCTTGTCCGTCCTCTGCAGTTGGCCAGCTGGGCCGCTGCTGGGCGGGCAGGACGGCTCCTAATAATCGTGATCAGCGTCCCGATGACATGAGTGCCCAGCTCTGACTGCGCGAGCGCTTCCCCACGCCCTGGTCCTCCTCGGCTCCCAGGTGGTGTCTGCTGGCCAGCGCCTTGTTCGGCCCACACGGGGCTGGCCTCAGAGTTCTCTGGTTGAATTCTTGCCGACATTTTAAGATCACGTCGAACCTGGGTTTTCTGCCTTCTCCTGAAACGCCGCAGCCTGGCTGCTGCCATCTTCCGGATGGTGTCCCTGTCCTGAGGGGGCAGTGGTGGCCAGTGCAGATGCAGCTGGCTCTCTCCCTTCTGCCAGCCCCCGCACTCCCCGACAATTGTCCCTGGCACCAGGCAAGTGCCAGGTGGCGCCTGTCATCCTCTTGGTCTCGCCTGCCTCCCTTGTTCAGAGAGCTGCATGAGCCCTGGGGCAACCGAGCTTGTGATTTGTGCCCTGAATCTAAACACAGGGCCCACCTGTCCTTTGACTTAAGTCACTCATTGGTTCCCTTCAACAGTGATAGGTCAAGTCCTTAAATAATTTTCTTTGAAAACGATACAGCAGTTTAATCCACTTAGATGATTAAAGTTTGATGGCTCCGAAAAGATGAACGATCTGCCTCAGATTCAACAGCCAATAGAAGAAGAGCCAGGGCTTCGAGTGGGCCCCTGCCTACAGGAGTGCAGCACACATACCAGGCAGCTCCAGGGCCACCAGCCACCCGCATAACACTGAACTTGTCCTCCAGACTGTGCAGTGTACAGACAGAAGCCCCAGCTCCATCCAGGGTTGGCTCCAAAGTCAGCATTTGTCTTTACGCTGTCGCAGGCCTTCACCCTCGGGCCCTAAGGCACAAAGATTCACAGCCCACTGTGTGCTCTTGCTTCCCCACAGTGCTCCTACATCCCGGACAGCCTGGACAACTACCAGATGGCCCGCGCCGACGTGGAGAAGGTCAGGGCCAATTTCCACAAGCACCAGGTTTTCTACTGCTTCTCCACGACCCAGGAGAACGAGACGAGTGTCCTGTACCAGCGTCTCTACGGGCCACAGACCCTCCTCTTCTCCCTCTTCTGGCCCACCTTCCTGCTGACCGGTGGCCTCCTTGTGATTGCCATGGTGAAGCTTAACCGGTCCCTCTCCATCCTGGCAGCCCAGAGGTAGACGGGCCTATGCCACATGGCCACGCAGGCCACAGGATACGGGGCAGCCCCCCTGGGCTCACCCTTTTGCACAACATCCCTCCTGCCCTCCCTCCCCCCCCAGCCCCTCCGTCTTCCATGCCGAGGGACCTGGGGACATTCCTCTGTTAAGCCACCTCTCAAGAATGTGCCATGCCCCCTTGGTGCCCTGAGGACCCGAGGCCAGCCAGCTCTCCATTCCTCAGGGGCCCATACCTGTCTCCTGCTGTGTCACTGTTAACCAAGTGACAGGATGGTCCTTTCTGTGCCCAAGCTCTCCTGGTTGGCTCAGAGGCCTGCCTGTCTCCCCCCAGGAAGTGCCCAGCAAACCTCGGGGAAAAAAAAGCAGCCCCCAAATACAGAGCGCGGTTAGTAGGTGGCTTCTTGTCTTCTAGGAGACAAGCCTTATATGCATCTTTTTATTCCAATACTTAAAAATACTGTTGTGCCTTGATACGCATGTGGGGTCAGCCCCAAGACCCTCTTCAGATGCCAAAGTCTGCGATGCCCAGGTCCCTTGCAGAAAGCCTTGTCGTGTCAAGGAAGCCCCTGTGCCCTTCCCCAGGGGCTAGACCATCCCCGATGACTCACGGTACCTGGGACGCAGAGAGGCCCTGTGAACAGCTGGGAGACTGCAGCGTTTAGGGAATGGCGACAAGAAAACAGTCCGTGTGCAGTAGAGATGCAATTTTTTTCTCAAAACAGCTTCAATCTGCAGTTGATGGAGTCCACTGGGGCGGAACCTCCACCCGAGGGCGGATTCACACAGAACAAGAGGCGACAGGAAATAAAACAAAGGCGACTATCAGCAGGGCATGGTGGTGGGTCCATCTCCTGCCTGTTCCCCTTTTTGTCTGAGGGGCTTTTCTCAAGTGTGGACAGTACTAAGATCTTGTGTGTTTGGTTTGTTTTTAATCAGAAAAGCACCAATCAACGTTGTTCTGGGAAAGGTTGGAAGATGGTGGGCAGGGGGTCTGCTAGTCAGAAGGCTCCTGAGGACCGTGATCTGAGAGCCCTGCGGGGAGGAAAGGGCACGGGGTCTCTTGTCCACTTCCCAGGTCAACACTCCTCAGCCCTGAGCCTCAGACGGGCCACACAGGAGAAGCGTGACCGCTGACATTCTGCTGGGGTTTGAATATGGCCCCCACACTCCACATGTTGGAGACTTACTTCCCAAACAGGCTCGCCAACGAATTTAACAGTCACTGAAGGGGAGCCTCTGGGAGCTCACTAGAGTTAGATGAGGTCACAGAGGCAGGGTCCCCACCAAGGCTTGGATGGCTTTAGAGCAGAGGAGGACAGACCTGAGTGGCACACTCGCTGGGCCTCACCAGGACCTGCGTCCCCCATGCGACCACACAGCAGCAGGCCCCCCAGACGCCTGGCAAGTGTGGGAGCCATGCTCTTGGGATTCCCAGCTCCAGAACTGAAAGAAAGAAATTTCTTTTCTTTATAAATGACCTGACCTCAGACTATTGGATATAGCAACAGAAAACAGACTAAGACACATTCCAAGAAGCCTGCTGAGAGCAGAGATTTGTAAGGTGTGCTTCCCGACCAGCTGAGGGCAGGACCCAGGAGACCCTGAGAAGTGCATGTGCCCAGGCCCCACCCCAGCCCCCAGCCACAAGGCCTAGGGGAGGTCTCAGGGCTCCTCAGGTCAGCAAAGTCTCTGGGGGACCTGATGGCCCACCTCCTGCATCAGGGACCAGCACAAGTCACCAGGCTCTGAGTGGAACAGAAGACTGGTGCTGTAGCCCTCAGGCTTGAGCCCCATCTTTACCTCAGCCAGAGTTCCTCTCTCTGATTCCTGATTTTTACCCCCCATTTACAAAAGAGGAACCCTTTCTGGGGAGTTGGGAGGACTGAATGAAGGGTTGGCACCTGGTAGGTGTCCAGTGGTCCCCAATAGTTAACAGCGTAAGTCACGATGGCCTGAGACTTCCAGAGAAGGTGTCCAACAATAATATCACCCAGCATTCCTGCTGCTTATTATGTCCCGGCACTGGGCTGCTGCAGACCCATCTCCCAGGTGAGGCGGGGCAAGGTCCTGAGCCATGTGGACTCGGATGGGGACCACCTGGGCTCCCGGACAGCCAACGCTGCTGTTCACTAGCTGGGGAATTTGGGTTCATAAATTAACCTCTGTGTCTCAGCCTCTTCAAAATAGAAATAATAGTTCTTGGCATTAAATGGGTCATTGTGTAAAGTTCTAGAACAGTAACTGATAAGGCTGGGCCTGTGGCTAGCATGTGAGGCCAGGGAAGAAGGAGGAGGGGGAGGGGGAGGGGGAGGAGGAGGAGGAGGGAGAGGAGGAGGGGAGGGGGAGGGAAAGGGGGAGGAGGGAGAGGAAGGGGAGGAGGGGGAGGAGGAAGGAAGGAGGGAGGAGGGGAGGAGGGGGAGGAGGAAGAAAGGGGAGGGAGAGGAAGGGGGAGATGAGGGGGAGGGAGAGGAAGGGGGAGATGAGGGGGAGGGAGAGGAAGGGGAGATGAGGGGGAGGGGGAGGGGGAGGGGAGGGAGGAGGAGGGGGAGGAGGGGGAGGGGGAGGAAGAAAGGAAAGGACAGGAGGGGGAAGCAGAGGGGAAGGGGACAGGGAGAAGAGTGACGGAAACTAAGAGCTTGCTCTAGCTGGGTCTGGAGGCCAGTGGCTGAAAGCTTGGTCTGTCTGGCACTCCTGGGGAGGTGCTGGGACCCTCAAGAAGTGGCCCTAATGGGAGATCCTTGAATCACTGTGCCCTTGGGGAGCACAGTGGGACCCACCCCTTTCCCTCTCCTGTGGTCCCTGGCCATGAGGTGAGCTGCTTTGCTCCGCCACATGCAGTCACCAGGATGAGCTGCCCCAGCACAGGCCCAGAAAACAGGGCCAGTCAATCAGGGACGCAGATCTCCAAAACTGAGCGGCAGTGACACTCTTTTCCTTATAAGCCAGCTACCTCAGGCCTTTGTGACAGGGAAGGAGGACGACCCACAGTGCTATCTAAGTTTCTATAAAACACTGCGGCTCTGAGAGGTGAGGCCACGGCTGTCCATCGAGTCAGTCAGGAGCTGGGAGTCCAGCCCAGGCCGGGTGACTCCAGAGCCTGGGGACATAGCTACCCCGAGCCACAGGGCCAGGACCAAGCCCAGGTGCACCCTGAACCCCGGCTTCTCATTTGCAGGCCTTTCTGTCGGGGGCAAGCGGCTTTCCACTCCCCAGAGGGTCTCGCTCTCTGGGTGAGGGTCTCAGGGCCTCTGAGCCTTCTAAGGAGGACCAGAGAGTGACGTTGCTCGACAGTTGTTTACAAGATATGACCACTGGGGAGATCTGGGGGGTCCAGGGATCTCTGTTACTCCTACGCCTAAAGGCAAATCTAAGATTATCTTAAAAGAGGAAGAAAAAGAAAAGAGAATCTAGGAGTCTGACTTTGAGGGACTACTTTCCGCACGGTTTCCACGCACCTGCATTTGGGACTGAACTACACGGAAACTTGGAATGTGCAAACAGCCCCCGCAGGGGAAAGGCCACGTCCTTCTAGAAAACCCAGCACTTGGGGATGCCTAGCCTCCACCGCCTCATGCATTAGTAACGGTGGCCTTCATTTACTTGAGAGAACGTCCTCCTCCTGTTGACAGAGCCTGGCCTACTTCTAGCAACACCTCACCTGTCTCCGCCCGCAGAACTTCCCGTACAGGATGGGGGTTAAGGGGTGAGCACTTAAACCTGATGTCGGAGACACCGGAAAAACGCATTTCGCAATGACCACAGCTGCCTGAGCAGGGCCTCATCAGTTCTCCATAAGTCACGGCTGATGAGCTGACGGTGCTGCTCCAGGTTTGCATTTGCTCTTCTGGGCCAGTGACTCACACCTGGAGAAAGGTACCTGAGCCCCATACCTTGTCCCCTCCCTGCTGGAGATCAGGTGACATCACAACGCCCATGCCACGTCCCTCGCTCACTGCCTCTCATGGTGTAGGCACCCCAGCATTCACACCATCAGAAGTAGGGAACGGAGCATAGGATAAATATTTTGAGAGAAAGACCGTGTTGACTTGACTTCTGTTACAGCATGGCGTTATAGTTGTTCTATTTTATTAGTTAGCTATTATGGATATTCTCCAACTGTGACTAACTTGTGAATTCTGCCTTGCCTAGCTGTGTGAGTGTGTGAGTGTGAGTGTGTGTGTGTGTGTGTGTGTGTGTGTGTGTGATGGTTGGGATATTAAATGTCTCTCAAAAGCTCATGGGTCAAAGGCTTGGTGTCCAGTGACCCTCTTTGGTGTGGGAAGTATGGCCAGGCGAAAGCCCTCCTGCCTTGCTCCATGCTCCTGGTGGCAGTCCACACCTGCACCTCTTTTGATGATAAGTCACTGTATCGAAGGCAGCCCTTCCATGTGGGGACACATGTAGCTAACCACTCCCCACATAAGAATCTGTCGTCCCTGATGGGAACAAGAGGCAACCTGTGCCCAGCAGGACCTGGGCCAGGCCCTCCCACACAGGGCTCAATGGACACCAAGAGCATCCTTGCAGGTGACCATCAGAGTCTCCATTTCAGAGGTGCCATAACTGAGGCCCAGGGAAGGATTTAATCTCCCCAGGTCAGAAGTCAGTAAGCAGCAGGGCTGCATTTCAATCCACATGGTATGGATTCTGGTTTCGAGCCACGGAACCTTGCCCCATTCATCTCAAAAATGAAAAGGTCAAGACAGAACACTGAGAGCCGGTTAGGGGCCTCTGTAGACCCTCCCCCTGAGGCCAGGCTCTCCAGTGACTCCCCAGGCCACCCCTCTGAAGAGTCCACAGATGCAGGGTGCTACCCAAGTGCATGATCTGAAACGTGGCCACTGCCAAGGTAAACAGGGCCAGGGGCCATCTGGAGTCCACTGTCCCCAGCTGGACACAGCCCTACCAACACACGGCCGGAACCTCGGCTTGCTCCAGCCACAGAACGGCTGGTCACTCCATGGTAAAGCAGAACTGAAGTGAGTCCACTCTCCTGGGACCCTCTCCCACCGACCCCACCCCTCTCCCATTTAGTTTCCAGGGGTTGATGAGCCCCCACAGAATGCGTCTGGGAGCCGACAGCTGCATTTATATATAGATTCAGAGCCTCTTTTCACTGTCATTAATAAAAATTGGGCCATGTGACACCTTACAAATTCTCATAAATCTGGGGCCAAGTTTCAGCTCAGTGTGACAGTATTCTTGGCTCTCGACTGTGTTTTGGATTTGTCCTGGGAGAGGGAGCCTGCAGGGAAGTAGGAGTTTGACTCTAGCTCCCCATGACCTTGGGCGGTGTAATCTCCCGAGCCTCAATATCCCCCCTTGGAAACTGAGAGTGGCATAGTTGGTTTTACAGGGCGCTTGTGACCACACAGTGCCACAGGGAATGTGGAGCACTCAGCATGGCGCCTGGCGCAGCTGAGAAGCTCCGCAGATGCTGCTGCTCTCTTGGACACCAAGGGCTTTTCCACCGAGAGCTCTGAGGAGTCCCTACGGCCATCTTTTTCTCCACCTTTCAAAATCTAACCTTACACAGGTTCCTGTCTTTGCTTTGAACTCTCTCCGAGTCCCCATGTACAAACTTAAGTTCTCGTGGAAAAGCAGCTCTGCCCACGAGGACCATGCCCCCACCTTGACACCAGCCCAAGGGTCAAAGGACCCTTTGCCTTGAGAGTCCATTCATCAGGGTCGTCGCCCAGGATAACAAGAGGCCTGGCCAGAATGATCTTCCCAGTGTGAGACAGACAAATCCCTTGGCCCAGAAATCGAGCTTAATTGGAAATTAAATTGCATTTTCATGCCAACTGCAGGATGCCTATATCCACAGCTAATTTATCAAGGTGATGCCTTATCTGGAGGAAGCCCGTGGGAGCAGCGTAGTGGCTGCTTCAGCAAAATGCAAGTTCG